TGTTTCTCTCTCATCGATGTTTCTAACTCTCTATCCCTCTCTCTTTCCTCTCTGTAAAAAATCAATAAAATATATTTAAAGAAAAGACTCCAGTACATAGCATAAAGAAACAAATGCTAAAGTAGGGGCAAATAAAAAACTGTGCAGAGGAGTTACTTCCTACCAAGGGGCGAACAGTAAAGGTGAGAGTATCAGCAAGACTTCAAAAAGGATTAATATGTTTCCCTTTTTGTTTGTTTGTTTCTTTATGATGAATAGAGTACTTTGCTACAAGCTGTGAGACAGGCTAGTAAGTCAGAACAAAGGATCGTGAGAGTAGTGATGATTGAGTGAACACTGGGGAAAGGCAGAGTGTAATTGGGTTGGGAAATAACAACCCAGTGTGGCTTGAGTGCAGCAGGGTTTGGATTAGGGTAAGGCATCTGAGAGTGAGTAACTCCTCAACTGTGTCCTTATCTTATTCTAGTCCTGACCCTGACTTGGAAGAAAGTGTTGAGAGATGGAGTTGGAAAGGTGGAATTGTATGGAAAGGTGAGGGCCTTGAAACCCTGCATAGAGAACCTGGTAGTATTTTATAAATGAGATCTCATTGAAGGTTGCTCTTTTGAAACTGGGGACAGAGAGTGTCAGTGAGTGCTGAGTTCAACTGTGCTATAAGAAAATACCTTTCTTTCATTTATGACTGGAGAGAGGACAAATCCACTCTAAACTTATCTCCAGGAAGGTCAACTGACATTTTTAAAAAAAATCCTCACCCGGGGATATGGTTTTCATTGATTCTAGAGAGACAAAGGGTGAAGGAGAAAGAGAGAGAGAAAAAACAAAATGAGAGAAAAACATCGATCAGTTGCCTCACATAAGTGCCACAAATGGGGACTGAACCAAAACCTGGGTATGTGGCCTGACCAGAATTGAACCCGCGACCTTTTGGTATACAGAACAAGACTCTAACCATTGTGCACATCAGTCAGGGCTCAAATGACATTTGAATGGACCCTTATTATCTTATTACATGAGAACCATGTAATATTTATCTAGAAAGAGGGCAGAAACCAAAGGGCCATGTGAGTGGTGAGGTTTTTACTTCAACTATACCCCAGAAAAATTGAGGGATGATTCTGGCCAAGGAGTGATCAGAATATAATCATCTTCATTCTTGGACACACACACACACACACACACACTACTTACCCTGCTCTTTGGCTGAGACTAAAAAATTCCACAGGCGAGAATACCTTAAGTATCTGCTTCCCATGAAAGTAGGACTAAGAGGTATCCAGCAAGACCACAATGTGAAGCTCCCCAAAACTTATTTATTTATTTATTTTAATATATTTTATTGATTTTTTACAGGAGAAAGAGAGATGGATAGAGAGTTAGAAACATCACTGAGAGAGAATCATCAATCAGTTGCCTCTTGCACACCCCCTATTTGGGATGTGCCTGTAATCAAGGTACATGCCCTTGACCGGAATCGAACCTGGGACCTTTCAGTCCACAGGCTGATGCTCTATCCACTGAGCTAAACCGGTTTCAGCAAAGCTCCCAAAAATTTAAACGCAATGCCCTCAATAGGAATTCTAGGCTAAGAGAATTCTGATAAGAAGAAAAATTATATGCCGAAACCGGTTTGGCTCAGTGGATAGAGCGTCAGCCTGTGGACTGAAAGGTCCCAGGTTTGATTCCGGTCAGGGGCATGTACATTGGTTGTGGGCGCATCCCTGGAGGGGGGTGTGCAGGAGGCAGCTGGTCGATGTTTCTCTCTTATCAATGTTTCTAGCTATCTCTCTCCCTTCATCTCTGTAAAAAAAAAATCAATAAAATGTATTTTTTTAAAAAGAAGAAAAAATTATAGAGAACTTTAAAAATTATGCAGGCATGTGTCACAAAAACATATGCTGCCCCCCCTAATATATTCTGCTGGGCTCTGCCTCCTTCATTTTAACTTATTTATGTATGATGCATAGGATCAGAGGTAGGTTTACAGATATTAATCCAGCAGTGGCTGCTAAGAGAATGACACTTGTTCTGACATCAATTCTTTGACACCAAATACCTGGAGTTAGCATTAGACTCCACAGATTTAAGGTAGTCCTTAACTTAATACTGCCTGCATTTCAGATAAGATGCCAGTTATAAGTCTTGGGGACAATAACCAATGCTTCTGATTCAGGGGTTCCCATGATCCTTTCAGGTTTGATAATTTACTAGAAAAGCAGAAATTACTAAAAGTACTATATTTCACATTATAGTTTTATTATAAAGGCTATACACAGGACAAGGTCTGGAAGGATCTGAAACACGTAGCTTCCATGCCCTCTTCCCATAGGTTCAGGGCAAACCACCCTCCCTGGGTATTAGTGTGTTTGCCAACCAGGAAACTCCACAAAGCCCTGAATTTTCACTGGGGATTCTTTATATATGCATGATTAAATCAATGGCCACCCAATTGAGCTCCAAATCCAGCCCTCCTTCCCTCTGTGGTCTAAGGTTCGCACCTCTAATCATGTGGTTGGTCCTTCTGGTGACCAGCCCACATCCTAAAGCTATCTAAGGGCCCACCATAAGTCAGTTCATTGGCAAAACAAAGACACCCCTATCACTCAAGAATTCCCTAAGGTTTTTTGAAGGTCTATGCTAGGAACCAGAGACAAAGTTTAGCTATATTCTTTCCATACCACACTGTTTTTGAGGTAGTCTCTTTTGTCAAACTCTATAACCACACACACATAGACCAGAGACAACAGACCTTAAGCCAAAAGGCCATAATCTGAACATTGGCTGCAATACTTACCTTACCAGCACTATATTGCTGGAGAGTGGAGAAAAGAGAATAACAAAGGAGGCAGGGATAAGAGAGGAGGAGTCAATTCTAGGCCTCAGGCTCTGTAACTTTACCCCACAAGTCCACTGCTCAATCCAAGCTTTTAAATGGAAGCATGAGGGCCTGAAGTAGTATAGAGCATAGTTTCCACTCTACTAGTATACTGAGAATAAAAATAAGGATATGAGTAGCTTTAGGGAAATTAATTGCTTGCTAGTGACACTTTCCTAAACTGCCTTGGCATGTATCCTAGGGGCATCAGGGGTTCCCCATGACCCCCTCAGGTTTGGTAATATTCTGTTAGAAAGAAGACAAGAACTTATCAAGGGCTGCCACCTCAAATGAGACCAGAGGAACAAGTCCTAAAAACTGGGCAGAGAGCAAAACACACGGAACAGAGCAAAACATCTGTAGAGGGGAATCTACAGGACCATCCATAGAGCAGTTTCTGCAACTGTTTCCCAGAAAGATCCTATTATACTCTGAAGCCCAGGACTAAAAAGTAAGGGAACCTCAAATGGAATAGCCACTTTTGTATTCCCAGGTGGGAGGGAGATACTACTCAAGGCTGAGATCCAGATATTCTCTTGGGAGTTTAAAGCTGGGCAGTATCTCAAAGAGAAATCCTCTGCCAAAGGTCTCAGCATGTAGGTTCCCTTCTCCTGAATCTGTCTCCAAACCCCCTTCTCTAGAGTTGTTCAAACTGGGATTCAGCTGAAACCGGTTTGGCTAAGTGGATAGAGCGTCAGCCTGCAGACTAAAGGGTCCCGGGTTCGATTCCAGTCGAGGGCATGTACCTCGGTTGTGGGCACATCCCCAGTAGGGGGCGTGCAAGAGGCAGCTGATCAATGATTCTCTCATGGATGTTTCTATCTCTCTATCTCTCTCCCTTCCTCTCTGTAAAAAATCAATAAAATTTATTCTAAACAAAACAAAACAAATTGGGATTCATTCCTCTCTTGCATCTCCAGGGCACTGGAGTCTCAGAGCATAAGGCAAATATTACTCCCCCCCCCCCCCTCTTCTCTTCCACCCTCTGTCAGTTTTTAAAAAAGATATTTTATTGATTTTTTACAGAGAGGGATAGGGAGAGCTAGAAACATCGATGAGAGAGAGACATCAACCAGCTGCCTCCTGCACCCCCCCCCCCACCACCACCACTGGGGATGTGCCTGAAACCAAGATACATGCCCTTGACCGGAATCGAACCTGGGACCTTTCAGTCCTCAGGCCAACACTCTATCCATTGAGCCAAACCGACTTCGGCTCCCCACTCTCTCAATTCTGAGCTGGTCTTAGCAATCCCCATCCTCTGGAAAAGACAAAAAATAGAGTAAGTGGCAAATAGGTTTGAGGACAGGGCTGTAGCTCAGGGTTCCTATCCTCACGCCTGCTTTTCCAGAGCCAGCACCGCTGGTTTATATGAGTTGCATGTTCACACAATGTCACTTCACAGTTTCCAAACTCTAGGCTCCCCTGAGCTAACTTCCTCCATGCATCTACCTCCCTCACCCACATGGAAACACAGAATCACACAACACTGGGAAGGGAGCCTGGGGGTAAGGAGACAGGTGTTCAGGAGGGGAGGGTCCCAGGCACTTCCTCTACAGGATGTAGTCCAGTGGTTTCCAACCTTTGTTTGGCCATGCCCCACCTAAGCATCTCTAAAATCCTGATGCCTGCCCCGTGATATATAACTCTTATTATACAAAAAGTGAACTTCTATTCTCATGTAGGAAGCCTAAAAGGCCATTAACTTGGTCTAAATAAGATTCCCAAGAACATGGCATCCATGAAAGAGGAAAATAAAAGGAAGGACAGTTGAAGTACTGAGGAAGAAATCACTATGAAATTGTTAAAAAAAAATAATAATAATATGAAAAATAGCAAATACAGTTTCAAAACATAATAGAGAACTGAAATGCATAAATATGCCACAATATATATATGTATATGCTGTATGTGAGGCCCCTAGAACCATAAGAAATGCAAAAAATTCATTGTTAATAACTCATTCTCGAATTGCCCCCCTTAAAAATCAAACTGCCCCTCTCCTGTGGGGTGTGTGCCCCACGCTGGGAACCACTGATCTAGTCTCAGCCACCACCTCCTATAGATGCCATTTCCCAGTCTCGATCCCACCGTATGCGTTCCTATCTCTTCTACAAGGACCCACCTTCTGAATTCGTAACTCCTCTGCAAGCGACCACCGCTTCTCTCCACTTGTGCCTCCCGCGGGATGACTTCGTGCCTCTTGAGCTCCTGGACGAAAGACAGACCCAGCAAAGACGCTCGCAATTGCCCTCTAGCAACAAATTGTTTCTGGTCTTCTGCAACTAGGTTTCAGGCTAACGCGGCACGGATAGACAGCCACCCACCCACCATAACATCCTACCAGTCCTCCCACAGCAGTCAGTCAATCCTCAGCCTTCCTGACTCTTTTCGGTGGGATTCACCTCTAGGTCCGCCCAACAGCGATCGCGGTCACATGATCACCGTCAGCCCATGTGACCATGCAGTCCCTGTCTGCAGCAGCCCTCTGAAGGACAGGAGAGCAGAATCTCCTGCCTCTGAGTTTGAGCTGCTGGCTATGGAACCTGAAGTTCCTGAGGATGGTGAAGATAGCTAAAGGAAGGCTTGGATTTGGAGCCAAAGCTTCAAGCCCGAGGCCCAATTCTTGTTATGTGGGAGCCCAGGGCTGGCGAGGAACACTGGATGAGGAGTTTAGTAAGGTGACCACACATCCCGCTTTTGGCGGGACAGTCCCGATTTTTAGCAATTTGTCCCGCGTCCCGCGGCGTTTTAAAAAAGTCCAAAAGATTTAAAAGAATCTTAAAAAAACACAACAACAACAACAAAAAACTTTTTAAAAACGCCGTGGGATGCGGGATAAATTGTTAAAAATTGGGACTGTCCCGCCAAAAGCAGGACGTCTGGTCACTTAGAGACAAAGTGACTTTGCTTATTATTTCTAAAATTCAGGGTGACATGTTAAAACACACACAAGATCTGTCCTAAAAATATTGCAAGGCAAATGAAACATTCAAACTCCAATTTCCACCATCAGGATGATCGCTGTTAACACTGCCATTTTTCCCTATTCTATAAACCAGTCATTTTCAACCAGTGTGCTGTAAGAATTTTTAAAACATGCAATAGCTGGCTATTTAGTCAGGGGCCCTTAGATTGTCAAATTAAAAAATTACATCAGGAACTCGGGCAGCGGCGGCGGCGGCGGCGGGGAGGAAAAAAAATAATAATAATAAAAAAATAAAAAAAATACATCAGCCAACACAATAGCTGACCTGTGTGAATGAATCACAATTATACGTGTGTGTGTGTGTGTGTGTGTGTGTGTGTGTGTGTCAAACTGGCAAAAAAATAGGTATTTTTGGTGTGCTGCAAACTTTCAGTCATTAGTTTATGTGTGCCGTGAGATGAAGAAGTTTGAAAATTGCTGCCATAAATCTTGCATATTAGAAGGGGGGACCACGTTGCACTGTCAGAAAAATTATATAAAACTTGGGTAAAGAAAACATAGGTTACTGGATATCATTTTAGTGCAGGACTGAGCTTTACTTTCTATTGATTAAGCAAGCTTTCAATTCTATGAAGCTGATTCTAACTTGTAGATATTTTGTCTAATAGATATGGAAATGATTTCTGTTCAGTGGAACAGATAACCCCAATGTCTAAAATTTATTGCCCTTATATTAACCAATTTTGTATTTAACCCAGCAATGATATCTGTTATGAAGCGAGTCCCCAAGAGATAAACCACTGGAGCCAATTTGATCAAGCATGCAAGAGTTTATTACAGATTCGAATCCGGGCTCAAACCTTGGCTGACACAGAAGCCAGCAAGAGCCCCGATGGAGAGGCAGTCCCTCCTCTTATACCTCTTTTTCCCATCCCCTCCCCCTGCTGGTCTGTCCCTCTCTGATTGGCCCCTCAGGACAAAGAACTGGCCGTCTTTAGCTGTTCCTTAGGTGATTTACACAACCTGGCCTGTTTTGCTTCAAACAGAATGTCTGTCCTGACTCCCAACGGGAGTGCAGGATGCTGCGGTGTTTTATGACCCAATTTCCCAGCCCGATCCGGAGGGAGGTCTGCATGTCCCACCCAAAGGAACTCCCGGCACTGAGTTACAGTGTGACTGACTTTATTTTTTTAAACTTTTTCCCCCTGGCCTGGTCTGTCTCCAGAGTCCTTATCTCTTGGGCAGACGGGGCCGACTGTCACAATATCCTAGCAATTATTTTCCATGTAGTATGAAATTCAACATACTATATTGTTTTTGTTATATTGTATACACTTACCTCCAACAATTTTCATAATCTTAGAAGTTCACTGTGTTGAAAAATATTTCATGTTCATTTTTAATTTGAGTCATAATTTAACCTTTTCAAAAATTAACATTATCCCAAGACAGAACAAATATAACATTTCCATCATATCTAAAAAATAATAAAATGTATGTCTCGATTCCCTCTCCAAACCATTCCTATTCCGGACTTCTGAAATTTCTTTTTTTAAATATGTTTTTATTGATTTTTTTTTTTTTTTTTTTTTTTTTTTTTTTTTTTTTACAGAGAGGAAGGGAGAGGGATAGAGAGCCAGAAACATCGATGAGAGAGAAACATCAATCAGCCACCTCCTGCACACCCCCCACCGGGGATGCGCCCGAACCAAGGCACATGTCCCTGACCGGAATCAAACCCAAGGACCCTTCAGTCTGCAGGCCAGTGCTCTATCCACTGAGCCAAACCGGTTTTGGCAGACTTCTGAAATTTCTATCTGAAAGTATGGTATGTTATTTTTATTTATTATTGTAGAAAATACACATAACATAAAACCTATCATTTATAAGTGAACAATTCAGTAGCAGTAGGTACATTCACAATTGTTACTCCAAAAGAAAATATTATATATATATAATTTAAAAAATATATAATTTATTGATTTTTTTTTTTTTTTTACAGAGAAGAAGGGAGAGGGACAGAGAGTTAGAAACATCAATGAGAGAGAAACATAGATCAGCTGCCTCCTGCACACCACCCACTGGGGATGTGCCAGCAACCAAGGTACAGGCCCTTGACTGGAATCGAACTTAGGACCCTTGAGTCCACAGGCCGACGCTCTATCCACTGAGCCAAACTAGTTAGGGTGGAAATATTATATTTTGAATGTAACAGTTATGTAAAAGAAGTGCCATCTTTGTACAGTCAAGAGACTAATATAAAATTAGCAACCTTGATAATTTATTTTTCTTTAAAGCATTTAATTTACAATAAAAAAGCTAGTTTTTCTAAGTCTCATGGGAGTTCACGTCTAAAAAATATATATTTTGATTTTTTACATAGAGGAAGGGAGAGGAAGAGTTAGAAACATCAATCAGCCACCTCCTGCACACCCACTACTAGAGATGTACCCGCAACCAAGGTACATGCCCTTGACTGGAATCAAACCTGGGACCCTTCAGTCCACAGGCCTACGCTCTATCCACTAAGCCAAACTGGTTAGGGCGGGAGTCCACTTTTCTTTCAGACTTTTCTAAGTGTTTTTATCTCTAAAAATTCCTCTAACAAAAATAGTTTGTTTATTTATATACCTTGTTTCCCCGAAAATAAGACAGTGTCTTATATTAATTTTTGCTCCCAAAGATGCGCTAGGTCTTATTTTCAGGGGATGTCTTATTTTTCCATGAAGAAGAATACGGTACACATTTATTGTTAAATGAAAATAAAGGAAATTTATTACCTGTATACGGTACAGTAGTACGGCAGTTGTCAACACAAACCAGACAAACTGTGAATCCTACATTATTAAGAATGTACTCATTTATTCAATGACAATCATGTCATCATCTTCTGGAACATCATCATAACAATCCAATTCCTGAATTTCCTGGTGAATTTCTTGTGACTCCATTTCTTTCAGAATCAGTGGACCAAATCTCTCATGTTTAGCAATAGCACTGTCTTTAAATGAGTACTTCTTGTCAAGGTAGCCTGCTCACAGTGCATTTGCAAGGCAACTGTCAGTGATTTTCTCCCATGAATTCTTCACCCAAGTCACAACTTCTTGCAGTTTAGGTTTCACAAAGTTTCCACGCTGATTTCTCTCCATTCTATTTTCAATGTAGTCATTAATTTCCATGCGCAAATTGTCTTTGAATGGCTTCTTTATTGCAATATCAAGAGTCTGGAGATAGGCCGTCATTCCTGCGGGAATCATTATCTGATCTATTTTTCTTTCGTGAAGAAATGTCTTCATGTCTTTAGCGTGGTGAGTGCTGGCTGCATCCCAGACTAGCAGACCTCTTTGGCTCCCTCGCATAACAAGTGGCAGCATTAAATCGACCCACTTCCTTATAACTGCTTGTGTGGCCCAGGCTTTTTCAGTTTCAAGAATAAAAACGCCCAAAACACGTTCAATCTTTTCCTTCTTGCCATTAGAAATGATTAAAGGTGGGATTTTAGTGCCATCTAGACAAATTGCCAAAATACAGGAAACACGTGCACTTTCATAAGCAGTGGAGGGAATGTACACTAAGGAGGCACCCCGCTGTTCAATTGTTGTTTGAGATGATTGGCCCATAAACACTGCAGTTTCATCCATAGCAATCATGTTGGAAAAATTGTACCGTGTTTTACGGTGTATAAGACGACCCCCTAATTTTACAGTTAAAACATAGGTTTAGGCCTATATTCGCTGTATAAGACTACCCCCCACTTCAAAGAAAAGACTTACTTTGCCGTAAGATCTGCAGGTAATTTTTGTGCAATTTTGGTCTTTTGCCCCCGATTTTCTGTTGACTTTCTTTCGTTTCAAAAGTTGTCTTATATGCCGGAAAATACCCCGGAAAATACAGCATCATCAATAAAGGACTTGAATGCAAGTGTTCGCTTAATAACTTGAGTATCTTTCAACCTAAACAATGTTGTAGATCTTCTTAAAGACAGTTCACTTCACTGAACGAAATTATCTAGCCAGTGTTGTGATGCTTTGAAGTCTTCGGGTGCTATGTCAAACTGTGGTGCCATTGCAAGGGAAAATTCTTGAATCTGAGCCCTATTCATAACCAAGCCTTTGCTATCTTGTCAACAACCCATTCACAGATCAGGTCTTCCAGCTCGGAAAATAATGGTTGCTGACCTGATTCACACTTGCGCTTTTTAGCATTTCCCTTGTCCACTTGTTCAATGAGGTTACCATACTCTGCTCGCCATTTTCGGACCAATTGGATACTCAACATCTTCTCTTTGTAGAAAGCAGTAAGATTTTGGCCCCAAGAGTCTTCCACGATTCCTTTCTTGTACTCCACAGAGTAGCTTTTTCTTTTTGCGCTCATTTCTAGGGGCAAAAAAAAG